GCGCCGCATTCGGCGACGAAACGGCCCCCTGGTTTGAGGATGGATTTGACGCCGCGGATGACGGCTGCTGGGTCGCGGCGCATCCAGTGGAGGGCTGGTTAAGGGATGTATACTGTGGTGTGAGATGGACGCATGCAGAGAGAACAATGGGACCACCGCCATCCTTACCAGCATTACTAAAAACCGCATCAAACACCGCCTTCCCCGCCCACACACTCTTCTCCATCTCCTGCCCATCCCACACCACACACTCACACACACTCTGCACACCACACCGTTCCACCTCCTTCTTCGCAGCCTCCACCATCTCCGGCGACGCATCCGTCCCCACCACCTTCTTGAGACCATACTCTTTCGCGAGTTTGGCGGTAAGAGTTCCATCCCCGCACCCGAGATCCATGATGGTTTCGTCGCGTTGCGGGGCAAGGAGGGTGAGGATGGGTGTGGTGAGGAGCGGGACGAAACCGGCGTTGGTTTGGTAGGCCGTCGGGGACCAGGTCCAGGTTTGGGAAGTCATGGTTTCGTTTGGTATACTGTCTTCGTTTTGGCTGGCGGGGGGAACTAGGCCAAGAGGTGACGCGTTTTCGAGTTGAGGGGATAGCGTCGTTGGGTGGGCCTCCTTTTATGGGATTCGATGGAGGTCAGGGGCGACGCCGGGTAATGTTGATTGCGCAGATGCGTCAGACGGGTCTTCCGTGACTCTTCCCGTCATTTCTGTCATTTTCTTCAACGACATTCAGAGAAAACACCGGAGACGCGGAGCTGGGACCGTTATCTGACCAATTTGGACATATCTTGATCGGAGATCCTCGGGTGTAACATTCGACTCACTTGAACTGATTTTCCATTGTGGGTGGCCCAATAATGGAACTGGAACAGAGCCTCGAAACCTTATACGGAGAAAAAAGCACAAGAATACAGAGTGAAGAGGACCGAAAACAAACACTTGCTCGTCAAGTAAGGGTTAAAAAATAAAAAAGAGAGAGGTAGCACCAACTAATTGGAGGACCGGGGTATCGATCCCCGTGCCTCTCGCATATTACAAGCTCACGTTGCTTATGCTAAGCGAGCGCTCTACCATCTGAGCTAGTCCCCCATTTTCCTTGTTGAATTAGTGGAAGCCCTAGCCACCTATATTTTGGCGAGAGGATAATCAAACCAATGGCTACGAAGCCAGTTGCCTTAAAAGGAGCGGTTGCAGCCAAATGCTACTTAGTACGTTGCCCTTTGAGGAAAGGTTCCAACCACCACGGGCTGGTTTTATGGTGCTCATCTCACAAGCAATGTTTTACTTTCACACGTACTCTCTTGTCGATATGGGCCATGCGAGCGACAAAGGGTTAATGCTCTACTTTATGCTCTACACTCTTCCTTGTTCTCAGGCCTGAAAGTTGATGTTGTTCATGGCTAGTTTAGCGGGGCTGGTTTAGCGTGGGGGCACCGGCGAACACTTTTCTGCCAGCATAGCTTTGGTATCTTCATGTCCCTGCGGGCCGATCTACAGCGCGCCCAATACGGAATGCCTTTAGGCATCCTTCTGCAGTTTCGCTCGAGAAAAAAACCCCCGCGTTGTGGTCTGGACGGGCCGCATTCTTTGAGGCGTCGCTCTTTGGCGACCGACGCGCGGTTTATGAGGATACAGCGGGGACAGGGGCCTATCCGAAAAGAAGTCAAGAAAACTGAGCAATGATGCTGGAGGGACGCCGAGTGCCGAAAGTTGTTGAGGCTTTTTGCATTGCTTTGTGGGGTTTTACGTTATGCGGCGAGTCACGTGGTTCATTCATCGCAAATTCACGCCCAAACACTCGGGAATCCTCTCATCCTTTCTCAAGATCGCCTTCCACAACAAAGAAAACACGGAGAACGATGCTAGTAGCTATCTTCTCCTGGTTTGCTCTGAATTTAGCCTCCATATGGGTCGCAGTTGGCGCTGCAGACCCATCCGCATCACCACAGGTTGAGACGGTCGTGGAACATGTGTATCCCCTTTATACATTTTCCCTACAGCCTCCCTATATAGGTATGTGAAGAGTGACTGCAGCTTCTTGAAGCGTGGGTGGGGGATGTTGGGATAGCCCTCCTCTTGTTTGGGGCACCGTGGTGGCGTCAAAACCACGGGTAGTGCACTCTGATACTTACACTGTTCTGTTTGTGTTCCATGTTGATTTATGTTATCAGATGAACACTTAACCAACAAGTGAGTATTGTTTCACTTTTGTTAACGATCAGATATGAGTAGGCAGGCGTAACCGATCTAACATGAAACTCTCCGCGGTGTGTTGCAGATGGTGGAACTTTGGAGGAGGTAAATTGAGTTTGATAGGGCCATGTTTGGTATCCAGTCCGTCAAACTAATGTGCGTGCGATTCAAATTTCCAAAAGACTCGATAGTGGAGGTGAACACGTACGTTCGTCTGACTCCCGACCGGCAGTCGATGGATGGTTGGCTTTGGAGCAAACTTGTAAGTAGCGAATTATGCCCACGTACATGGATTCCGTTGTGCGCTAAAGTATCTGGGTATGCCTGCTTAGCCTTTTACGACTCCCTCTTGGGTGATAGAGTTTGAGTTCAAAGTTCATGGAGCACCGCAGGCGTTGCATGGTGATGGATTTGCTTTTTGGTTCACGGCGCAGAAGGAGTCGCTTGGTAAGTGCTTTGGAAGCGTGGATGATAATACGGGTAGTCTTGCCTTGGACGAACTCGATCTGATTGTTATTTCAGGTCCTGTATTTGGTAGCCAAGACCTGTTCACCGGTTTGGGAGTGTTCTTTGACACCTACGCCAATGGCCACCACCCTGTATGCTTTCGACCAGTTCATTGCTTTCATCTGCGTTCTCCTGTTTTGCCTAACCTGTTTTCGCACAACCCAGCACTCATTTCCCTATGTAAACGCAATGATTGGTGATGGGAAAACGCACTATGATCACGGAAAGGATGGGAAACCGAATGAAGTCGGAGGGTGTCCTGCGGATTTCCGGGATAAAAGTTGGCCCACAAAAGCAAAGATCAAGTATGTCCGCAACGAGATGCTCCAGGTAAATTGCTATTGGTTGTTACCACGAGCGCCGGACGGTATGTTGCTTCGTAGGTGGAAACGTATTCATAAACAATCGGCTTGCTCAGGTTCAACTCAATATTCGCGGCGATGATACTTGGGAAGACTGCTTTATCGCGTACAATGTATCGCTGCCTGGAGTAGGATATCTTGGGTTTTCAGCGTGGACTGGCGATGTTCACGGTGAGTGCTTTCTTTGTACTCGATCCGCAAACCCAGTTTTTAAAAACTGAAGCCTGCCCTTTATCTCAACAGACAACCACGACATCATTCGCATTGTTTCCAACGGAATCACCAATGTGAGTTCGTCATATTTTTTGCTAAATGCTTCGTTATATGTTTTATTGACAGTCATGTTTCCATCCATGTCTTCCAGCCTCATGTTGAAAAACCCTCGTCGGGCACTAAACAGAGCGTGAAGAGCAGTTCAGGAGGACACAGTGGAACTGTTTTCTTTGTGCTCGTGATTTTGGCAGTTGTTGTCGGAGTTGGGTTTGTGATTGCGCAAAGGGCTCAGCAACGGTCCTACAAGCGCTTCTGAGTCGTGTGCAGTAGTGGCGGTCTTTTTTTATAATACAGGAGAATAAAAGGTTTTCAGCTTCAGGTGTCTGTGGGTCGAATTTGAAACACTGTGAGCGCCAGTCCGAATGCGACTGCTTGTTCCCAAGCAACCCGTAATTTAAAGCAGCATAATTTTGGAAGGAGCAAAGGGGACAAAGCATTATTTAGAAAATAATTACAGTTGCGGATGATAGTCTGCCATCCGATGGGATGTGCCTACATTTGATGAAATGAAAATGAAATTGAAAAGGAAATTGGTTACATCAGGGTCCTTGTAACCCACCCCATCCGCCCGAGTCGCGCCAACAACCCTTACGCGTTTTCATCCCCCCGTTCCACTCCCACTTCTCTCTCCCCACTGGCATCCTCGAAAAACCACCGAGCAAGAACCAGGATCTGTCAATTGGTTCCCCTCCAACTTCCTCACTCATCAAATCAATCCAACCAAATGTCTGCCTCGGATACCCCTACCACCACCACCACTCAGCAGCCAAACCCCGACCGCCCCATCCCTCGCTTTCCTCCCTGCCCCGCCTCCCGCCGCTTTGCAGCTACCGCAGCAGCCATCACCGATGTTGTGTTCAACAAAATTTACGCTGCCCATGGCGCGAGTTTGGAGGAGTTTGCGAGGGCTAGGTGGAATATGAGTCGGATGCATGTGAATCGATATGTGAGGGCTTATGGAGTTATGCAGGTGAGGGTTCTGTGTGGTGGGCAGTTGGGGTGTAGGTTTGGTGGTGGGACTTGAGTGGGTGTTTGGATGCATTGGCATGTTGGGAAGCAGGATGGATGCATTCGCTGTTCGTCGAGACGCGTTGCATCTTGGTTTGTTTACTCACCATTACCGTCCAAATCCACATCAGGAGCTGCGTTCCTTTGGCAACAAGCGTCCATGCAGCGAGTACGTGTGTCGCATGCTTCTGGAGATGAGACAGAAATCCGGATGCGACCTGGTGAGCATCTGGAGCCTGTCCCTCCAAGCCGTTCAAAACCGTGAAGACGACGTCGACGCGTCCATCGTCAAGATTGCTGCCAGGGTTGCCAGCGAGCGAGCATTCGCCGCTGCACTGGTGCCTGGTGCGAGTATGCTTGAAAGCGCCCAACAGGATTCAAAATCCCAAGTGACTCTGATTCCGGCACCTGCAACACCGAGTTCGAGCGGGAAATTGAAACGCAAGACAAGAAATGAAAGCGTCGACGCCGCGCCGCCACCACAGTTTCCCGCTGCTGGTATGGTGGGGTTCCCATCCGCCCCTGCAGGGCCCAGCGCAGGCTACGCAACTGTCTGTGACCCCACCGAAGAATTCAACACCCCCGCCTGGCTCGTCAACCTCATCAAGTCCTTCTTTCCCACGGGCATTCAACTCGACCCAGCGACAAACCCTCATTCGCACGTCACCGCTGATGTAAAGTACGGGTGGAGGACGGACACGCTCTTTGTTAATGGGTTGAGCGGCGGTGAGGTGTGGGTCAAAAACGAGGGAGTTGCACAAGATGCAGAGGGAGCTATGGGGGGTGCCGTTTCGCCGTTTGAAAGCTGTTTCTTGAACCCTCCTTGCGGGGACAAGAGAGTACTGTTTGTTGTGAAATTGATGAAGAGTTTCGCGGCTGGTAAGGGCATCGTTACGGCATTAGAATCCGACCACACCAGTATCTTCTATTAACACATCATATCAAAATCTAGGTACAATCAAAGAAGCTCTCCTCCTTCACCCACTTTCGCCACCAACGGCATATCTCCCCACTCTCATGTCCTACCCGCACGTTATCCTCACCCGCCCGCTGGACTTTGAACACCCCGTTGCCACCACCAAACCCTCCAAACCCAGCAAACGCAAACGCCAAAACCAAACTCCAGACTCTGGACGCGGCGCCTCCATGTCAGACATCCTCGGAACCCGTGACATGTGGGCATTGTTCTATCTCGGAAACAGGACCACGGAATTTGCCGCCGCGTTTGCGCAGGTTGGGTACGTGCCGGGAGTGTCGAGTTGGGCGTTTGGTGAGCAAGGAGACAAATAATGGAGATAAACGGGTGGTGTAGATGGGGATGTTGTGAATGGACTTGCTTACCCAACAAAGAGGATACAACCACGGAGATGGTGTGGGGCATGTGTAGAATGGTTTTGTACAGAAAGAAAAGAAAGAAATATCTTTAGAATAATAGAAAGTAAAACCGACCTTGCGAATTTGATAGAGACGTTTCTGAGAAGCCTTTTCTGAGAAGCCTTTTCTGAGAAGATCAACCAACCGAACCACCCTTCCTTGCAGAACAACCACGACACCCAGCCCGGCGAGTCCCTGGAGTCTTGGATCCCTCACTGGTTCCAACCCCATGCTTATGCTCTGAGTCTTCTCCGCCGCGACGGCTACCCCTGCATATTTTACGGAGACGTTTACGGCATGGGTGGGCCAAGCCCTGTAGATGCCGCATCTGGTCCGGCCATCGGTAACATTGCACGCGCAAGAAAATTGTTT